CGTCTTACGAGAAACCTAGATTTATCTTATATGAACCGAAACCGAAACTTTTAAGGTCATATCCCCGAACTCGATCTGACGCGACAACATCTTAAGCCGAACCCGACCCTCGGGTTGGGTCGATTTTCAGGTCTCTACCTGTGGTGTTTGCCATTCATATCAGGATGCTAAACTGCATCAGAAAATGTGTGTCTCATTATCTGCATCTGATGTCGTTCTAATGACGATAGGTTCCATACGGATTTACCCACCAGTCAGTCGGGTTTGGAGAAGACACTTTTGATATTAGTCAAATTTGGTCGCCAGAAATTTAGTGCTCACACTAACGAAAGGTCACTTCATTTTCAGGCTTCACAGTGCTAGCACACCCAATATAATTGCAAAAGCAGTAATCGAGACAATCTGCAAACTATATTGAACTTACTTGTTTCAATTTTCTTTTCTAGAAACATTCGTCCGGTGTCCCTGGAGAGGATCAGAAAACATTTTTCGGAATTATTCGTTGTAAGATATGTTTCACAATCCTTGTCGATTGTAAATGTTTCTAGATTGAATCGATTCTCTCTAATCTTTTCTTCCGATATTCTGTGGGATTCTGTAGTTGTATTTTCGAACCGATCCAACCACAAAATAGGAACTTGTTTCTTTTCTATAGGTGCTGTTATTGAAGCAATGGCTTGTACAAAAAATTCATCGAATTGAGGGTCATCTTCGCTGTATTCTTCTGAAATTAAAAGAATTAGTGTATATTTGATGTGTTTCACTGTCTGTGCTGTCTGTATATCTAAAATTCGATCATACCAATCAGCTCAGTCCCATGATATTTTTCCAAATCATCGTTCAGAGCGTCTTCATCGCTCGTTAAATTAGGTATCTTTCTTCTTCTTGTGTGTTTTGGAGGCTCACGTTCACAACATGGGTCATCGATCGACGATGTCACTCAAACAATTCAAATACATAATGACTTTCTCCACAGATAAAAGATCTTTGCATAGAATTTGAACTTTCGTTCTATCACTTACACTACTGTAAAGGCATGTGACGGATGAGATTGATTCGTTCTTATATAAGTTTCTATAGAGAAAACCGAACCAAACCAGATCAGTGTCTTAGGTATGATTTTGCGCGCCGAAGAGGGAAAGATTAACTCACCAAATGGTTCTCGATTTTGTTTCAGCTTAGCACCAAGGTCGTTATAACAATCGTTGCAGTATATTTTATCACTACTATCTCGTTGATCCATTACAATCAATGGAAATACTATTTCTTTTTTGCATATATCTAAAAAGAACCTGTTGATTAAGATTTAACGATTGTATCGCTATAACTCAAAATTTTACCGCACTGCGGCAGTGGATAGTTCACTTCGTCGAATCGTTCATCTATTGTTGGCGAAATCGATACAAATTTTAATTGAGTCAACCATTAATAATAGCAGATCAAAAACTGTTTATACAAATGAAAGGAGTAAGTTAATTTTGTTCAGTATAATTACATTCTACAATCATTGTCTATAATCATTCCATTCACAAACATCGATGGTGTATCAACAATGATCAAATGCCGATCATCAAAATCACGTATACAGCGTCTACATTCGATTATCGGATTGCAAAGCGATCTGTGTGGTTGGAAGTGATTTACACCAGCAAGCATATTTCCAAAAGTACTTTTCCCTTTAAAATACAACGCAAAAAATGATATCGATGTGTAATAGATTCTCATAGAACAAAAGCCGGTAATTTAAAAAAAACACTTTTTGTACCACTTTTCGACGGGCCTACAATCACCATCCCCATCGTAATTGACTAAAAAAATTAAAAAAAATACAATAAGACTACGTGTCGGGTTCTTCTTCGCACTACCAACCTGTTTCTTAAAAATATTTAGTCAACCGGTACCGCCAGGTCGTTTTCAAGGAAACTGCATCTCTAGGCCCTAATCGAAATGGAAAAAATCTAGAGCTGCAAATTGTTCAGGAGAACCAGTGATAGTTCCTGTAAGTACACATAACGTTTTCTCCATAACGAAAGCATATTTTTTCTAATGACTGAAAATAATTTTGAAACGGTTCGAACGGAATAGACGGAAAATGTTCTACTGATAGTGCCACTGACCTGAGGCCGTTGACCAGCGGCTGACATTTTATAAAAAAATCTCATACACACGTTTTGTTTCCTTCGGTTAACGTCGAGTATGCAATCATACGTGTTTTTATAATCTCGTGAATCTTGTGGTACACATTTGGTCATCATTCTCAATGCTTCTTGATAATGGTATAATGCTAAATCAAGCTCATTCTTTTTATCATAGATAATGCCTAAATTATGAAAGGATTTGGCAGTGTCAGTATGATTTGGGGGTAAACAAATTTGTCGAATTTCAAGTGATTCCTGTTGAAGTCTGATTGCTTCATCATAATCTTCCAATTTACCGAAAATGACACCTATATTAGATAAAATTTGAGCTGTTACCGGATGTTTTTCGGGAACACCAGCTTTTCTTAACCGATCACGTGCCTTCTTCAGCAACTCATTTGCATGACTTAAATCGATTTTAGCTGCATAAGCTACTGCCACATTATTATAATCGTGTCCAAAATCTGGATGCTTTTTCGGATAGCCCGTGTTAAATATTGGTAGAGCTTTCTTATACTGTAACAGTGCTAGATCAAATTCTTTTAAGTCATAGTAAGCAACTCCTAGATTTACATGACTTACGCCAATTAATAAATCGTTAGGTAGTAGTAACTGTTGTCGTTTTTTCAATACATATTTATAGAACATGTGCGCAATTTTGTAATTACCAACCTCATCAGCCACATGACCCATGCCAGTCATCGGTTCAAGTCGCTGCAGCTCGTTATCAGGTGTTTCTCTGTATGCGCGTTTAAGATATTTTTCTGCAGTTTTAAGTTCATTCATTTGACTCAAACTATGGGCCAATGATTTCATATCAGTTTGTGGTGGTAGTTTGTGCTTAATATAATAATCAAAAGTGTCTGTTAAACGTATGGGAACATCACTTTCACTACACAACACTAACTCGATAGTATGGTAGTTCTCTCCTGAATTCTGGGATACATTTCGTATACAAAAGATGCAACCAAGCATAAATAAAATTTCACTTTCATCTCGAAATACGCTCAAGTGCGCAATATCAGCAAATGCTTTTGCTTCAATTTTCATATCTGCTTTGATGACTATAAGAACTGGTATTTCTTTCTCAGTAGAGGTTGCACCAGCAAATACTAATGCTGCCGTTTTATCTGTGGTGGCTGAGAAGAAACTGTTTATCAAGACAAATTCACCCCGTGAACTACGTATTTCATTGAATTCCGTTGTACCCATACGCTGTCCTCGATACACTATGAGAACTGACCTTCCACCACCAGTTTCTATGGCAGTCTTCTGTTTATGGTATTCATTCTCTAATTGTCGAGATATATTGTTGATTAAAAGGCGAAAAGAAATAATAGCATCGTAGGTTTGAAACCGTAATGCTCTATTAAGAAGCCGGTAAAAACACGCAGGTCTGGTGTACCAACGAATTGCATCGCCGGCTTTGTATTCACGGCGAAATTCGTCAATATTTCGTAGCTCAATACGATTATCCCGATAGACTAACTTACATAAAGATACTAGGTCCCTCCTAGCAGTATCAAGATCGTTCATTCTTTGTAAGGCTTCAATGAAAATTTGAAACCACATAAAACTCCCTGTTTTAAAATTTTGAACTGATGCCTCGTCTCGTTTGATAACCAACAGAGTCAATAGATCGTCCACTTCATCGCAAACTACCATTTGATCCTGACACATTTGTGTGAGCAATTCGGTTAAATCAGTAAACCCGAGCGTCGGGTTC